CATTGTTATGACCGACTGCATGTAAGGATATGGTCTCCGTCAGCGATCAACTGCTAGATATCTTGGCCTGCCCAGCAACTTACTCCATCAAATCCTTCTCGAAGCCTCTTCGAAGCCGAGAGAGAGACACATACGATCCTCTAAGGCAGGACAGGCATGTCTCGGATTGACAGTCGATAGTGAGCAGATGAGGTTGCTCGGTATCGCTCGAATTGCGTACTTACACTTTAGGTACCAACAAGATCTGTGTGAAGTCGGCCAAGCTCTCCTGAGGCCAGACTGTCCTTCAGGTAAACTACCTGGCTCAACCTCAATCCCGCAGATGTCATCCTACAGGGGTCTCATCCAACCTCCTCGCCCTGGTCGGCCAACCTCGTCGTCAGTATTTGCCCGTCCTCTGGCGGCCCTTGTAGCTTGGCGGACAAGCTCAGCCTTTTCCTCCCTACCGCCGCAGTTGCCCTTGTTGCGGCAAGAGAAAGCAAGCTGCCAGTGCTTGCCTCCGCCAGACGCGCGCTCCCATCCTCCCTGCGTCAGTTCCACGTTAACGGCTCATGTGTCCATCCACTCACAAAAGACGAGCAATTGAGAGAGTTTCTGAACAGCGCAGCTGCTCGGGACATTCTCAACAGTGTCATCATGTGTCTTCCCATGTTCTTCAAGTGGTTGGCCCGTCGGGTAGACGGTTGCGTGAAATGATGCTCCGCTTGGTTGCTCTCCATTCTACACTTCCCTTTGACAGCCCTCCCAAGTCTTTTGACTATCGATCACCAAGTATCGCCGGTCTCAACCCGCCGCTCAATCAAGTATTTAGATATAGTAAATAGCATGCTGGTTAGGCGTTCCTCCACAGAGGTAGGTGCTCAGCGTGTTGGTGCTGTACCGTATATCGATATACGCACATCCTACCTGTCGGCTGCCGACAATGTGGTAGATCGCGTTTAGGAACCACATGTGCGTCCTGCGAAGAAGCACTGCAGAAGTTGCAGGCGGGATTGTTGGCTCTTCCGGGCACTACCGGTGATGGGGGCGAAAGTATGTTGATGTGCTTGGACCAAAATTAGTAGGAAGGCTTCAGTTCTACATTATGTCGATGGGTAGAGAGTCGCAAGTGCGCTACCACCTTGTGTATGCGTCGACGTCACGACAGCGAGTAGGCGATGATGGGATCTGACGCACGGCAAGTCTTGTGGCTTCGTCGATCCTGCCGTATGCGTTATCTTGAATTTACAAGATTTTCATTCAGATTTCAAAACGAAATGCGCGAAGCACGCGCAGTCGTTGTACGTGATCACTTGTTCCGTGCCCATCTTGTCATTATGTAGCTGATCAGACTGAGGTGAGGGACAGTCCGACATGCATCGACACGCGTCGACACGCGATACTCGGCAGCCCACATTGACCAGCATGCTGCGTACATGACACCAATGCAGCTTCACTGCATGCTTATCCCGCAGTTCAGGCTGATGGGGCCTTTGC